CAATTAATTGTTAAAATTCGATTTTAGGTTTGAAAATTCGTGAAAAAAATTCCAGAAAGTCATATTGTAGTTCCAGAAAGTTTATTTTGTCAATATCTTATTTTTGTTTAATTTTTGCTATCGTACATGTTTAATTCCTTGTTAATGTTTAATTTATTTACCATATTGTTAAATGCAAAAATAATGTTTAGTAGCTAAATCTGTTTTGGGCATGAATTAAGTAAAGGAATATGGATTGACTTGTTAGCTGAAAATTAGGGGTTAAAATTAATCAATTGAGCTAGTTATTCAATTTGATGAATTAGTAATTAATAATTGTTAGCCAATTTCATTAATTTAATTTTGGAAAATTATTTCTAACTTGTCTATGAGATTAGAAAGTAATTTGAGCCAACTTTATTCAAGCACATTAATAAGGCCTAGAAATAGGATAATTTTAATGAAATGGATTTACATCTTGTCTATGAGAAATAAATTCAAATTGCTTAAATAATGAATTTAATTAGTTAATGAATTTGGCTATTTTTATTAATTAAAATTTTGGAGAATTATTTCTGCCTTGTCTATGAGATTGGAATTTAATTCAAGCCAACCATTTTTGAATACATTAATGAAACCTAGAAATAGGATAAATTAATGAAAGTAATTTCTATTCTTGTCTATGAGAAAAGAAATTATTAGTCCAATTTTAGTTTTAAATTCCCCTAATTACTAGGTCCAAGAATATATCCATTTCTAATTATTCAATTCATTTCCCTTCTTTGATCAATCCATTTAGAGTTTAATATTTTATTTTTCATTTAGTTTATTTTGAGCCATCATTAGTATTTGCATAATTTAATTTACTTTCTTTTTCAAAAACTAGTTTAGAAAATCAATCAAAAGTTTTAGTTTAGAAGGCTTCCAATAATTTGCGATAACCTGTGACTGGACTTAAAATCAAGAAACTCCTCCGTCATTCCTCAAGAGACACGATACTCGGGGGAAAACCGAAAGGTTAGACTCCGTTTTACTACAACGCCGCGTAAGCGGTTATCATGGCCCCTCTGGCTGCATGGAGATTTGACCGAGGGCCAAATATTTAGGACTTAGAAAATTTTTCTAAATGTAGTTTTTTTCCTTGAGCCTCCGGTTAGTAGGCACTTCTTGTTGTATGAAGTGGAGTGACCTTCGTTGCAATGTAAGTTGGCTGAGGGCCACACGTTTCGGGACTTGGAAACTTTTCTAAGTGTTAGTCTACCACTTGGCTTTCGGCTGTATTATTAGTTGACCGAGGGCCACCCTTTGGTACTTAGAAATTTTTCTAAGTGTTTGAATATCATCTGGCCTTCGGTAAAGAGAGCCTTCAGGATTGTGCTTCCTTTTAACTAAAATCTCCCGCGGGCACCCCACTTTGTGGGCTTTAGAATAATCTCCCTTGACCTGTGAGTACTGGCCTCCGACAATAGGTAGTAGGTGCCTTCGCTCTTGGGGTAGCATATGAGCCTTCGGCTTTTGGTAGATCCCAAAGTGTGGTCTCTAGGACTTTTGTAGTCCAACCTCGGCATGGGAAGGGCGGTAGCCCTCGGGCCATGCTTGGGAGCATTCCCTCAGTGCTTAATGGGATGTCGGGGGCAATCGCTGCTTGGACTTAGGAAATTTTGTAGAACATTCATGTCGTAGTGAGTGCCAATGAAGAACAGATGCCTTTGGTATTCCTTGAAATGTTGTTGCTTGGAATCAGCAAATTTTTTCCTCCACGTAGGACTAGAGCCTTCGGTATTGGATGATGCCAGAGGCAGTCGGCTTTGGACTTGGCCATATTTGATGTATGGTGACCGGGGGCATGCCTTTGGAGATCCCTCGGTGTTGTTTGACGAAGGGTGTTCCGTTGTGGATTGTTGGAGTTATGTACTCATTGATTGCTCTTTGAGTCTACTCCCCTTCACCCCCCCCCCCCCCCCCCCCCTTTTGGGAGTGAAGGGAAGGCTTCAAGAAACTTGGTTTCTTGGTAAGGCTCGGCCTATCAGGAGGCAACAGAATACACCATTAGCTCCCCCATCGGGTTAACCTTCTGAGTTCCGAGGGGATCGAGGGTCGTTTCCTGGGCACGAAACGTAGTCTGTTGCCTGCCTCCCCTTGGGGGATGGCACGGAAAGCGCCTCAGTTTTGAAAGTCGTACCCTCAGCACGAGACGTAGTCTTTGGCCTGTCATACCCTTGGGGTAGTGGCACGGAAAGCGTTTCGTTTTTGAAAGTCGGATCCTGGGCATATTAGTTGCCTGCCGTACCCTTGGGGTAGTGGCGCGGAAAGCGTTTCGTTTTTGAAAGTCGAATCCTAGGCATATTAGTTGCCTGCCATACTCTTGGGGTAATGGCGCGGAAAGTGTTTCAGGGAAGGATTTTCATTTGCACACTGGTTGCAAATGGCCGGGGGCACTACGTGCTGCCGGCACCGATAGGTGGCGCCTTCGGTATAAATGCGTCCTCGAGGGGTACGGCTTTAGAGACAACACTTGGTGTTTGTCCCCGCATACGGCCCCCGGTATTTGGTACCAAGGGGTCTTCGAAGGAAACACTTGGTGTTTTCCGCTGTCTGGAGTTGATAGGAGTGCGCACCCTCGGCACTTGGTACCGAGGGGTCTTCTTAAAAACACATGGTGTTTCCTTCATTGGTCGTAGGTGATTGGAGTGTCTACCCTCGGCACTTGGTGCCGAAGGGTCTTGCTCGTGACAAGGCCTTGGGCCAGGAGTCTGTATGAGGGCTTGGCCGCTCACATGTGTCTTGTTTCTTGTTCCTGGTGTCTTCAATATGTCTTCAAATTTGAATGCCTTGGGCCGTAGGATAATACATTCATTAGTTATGAGGGCTTGGCCGCTCTAATATTACTAGTAAAATTTAACTAGGTGATGTACATTCCAATGTCTAGGGACCTCTGTCCCATTGGGGCGTTTGAGTTTGTAAGTCCCAGGTTTGATGATGGCTGCTACGATGTAGGGGCCCTCGAACTTAGGTGTCATCTTGCCGCCCTCAGTTGGTTGGCTAGCTTCCCTCCGTCGGAGGACATAATCCCCCACCTCTCAACGAGAGAACCAAATGATGGATAAGTGTACCCGGGGGTAGTTTATCCGAGGGGTTATTGCGGGGAGAGAGTAGAGAGAAGTCAGAGCAAAAGTAAGAGAGAGGATATGTATTGCTGAGAATGTATTGAGCGTATTCAGCGTGGATTACAAATAGGGAAAAAGGGTGCTATTTATAGCAGCAATAAATGTTAGATATGGACACGTGTCATCATTCTGGCGGTCGAGGGGTCACCTCAACGGGGTGGCACTGGCACTCGCATGTGGCCGCATTAAATGCGGTGGTTGGATGTGACGTTTGTACTCGGTACGTTGATCCAGCGCATGTGGGGTGGGAGGTTCTGTCGAGGAGAAGCCTTCAGTCGTAGATGATAAGCCGAAGGCTCTTCATCCCGGGGGCCTCTGGGCGCCGAGGGCTCTAGGTGCCGAGGGCTACTGTCTTCGCCGCTTTCTCCCAGACACTTTGAGTGCTTAAAAACAGTTGTACTGTAAGTTTATGAGCCTTCGTCCATGGGGCCGAAGGCACCCCAGTGTTCGTCGTGGGCTGTTTGGCACTTGGGGCGCTGTGATTTGGGCCTGCTGTGCTTCCTGGGCCTATTGGGCCTTCGCTATAGTAGTGGGAATCTATGGGCCGGGGGTTCCTAGGCCATATACTCCATCACAAGTGTTTCGTACAATGTCTAACCAAGTGAGGGATCAAGCACTCTAGGGCATCGGTGGCCTACCCACAGGAAAATGTCCAGGTGGAAAATATGAACAGGACGATCATGGACGGGATAAAAAACAAACTTGAACATTGCTCCTCCTCATGGTCCGGTCAGCTAAACTATATCTTATGGACTTACCGAACGACCCCAAGGACAGCCACTGGGGAAACCCCGTTCGCACTAGCATATGACTTTTAGGCCAAAGTCCCAACAGAAGTTCTAGTGCCCACATACCGAACGATTCATTTTGATCCCGAACGCAATGAAGGCACTTTGCGGGCAGAACTGCATTTTATTGAGGAAAGGATGGATCTTGCGGCAAGAAGGATCGAAAAGTACCAAAGAGCCACCGGGAGATACTTCGATAAGCAAGTCAAAATCCGTTCAATCAAAGTAGGAGACTTGGTTCTTAGAAAAAGGGAAAAGAGCAAGCCGCTCGAGAGCGGAAAATTGGCAAAAAAATGGGAAGGCCCGTATCAAGTTTGGAAGAAATACGCTTGAGGGACGTTCGGACTCAAAACCACAGAAGGCCGTTCGGTAGGAACCTGAAACGTTGAGCACCTGAGGAAATTCTATCAATAAAACGGTTGTTGCCACCTCTTACAAAAAAAATAATAGAGGAAGACATAACTTCCAGAAAAGCCTCACCTCGACCATAAACATTGAGAATCATTCTGGATGACCGAATGGGGATCAGTGCTATGGCCTGGAGGGAGCCATCATCTCAGCTAAAATTTTGACCCTACGCTCTGAAAAAATAAAGGAAGGGATCAAAATGGCTTGGAAGTGATGTCAAAACCATAAGTATGGACGAACCAAACGGCATTCCGTAACACGGATTAACCGAACGGGGGATCGGAACTATGGTTTTTAAATCTCGCCTTAGTCATTAGCTTTGACGAACCACGACGATATGGGATCGGAGGGTGGAATCCAAGCTATTGATTTGGAGGTAAGTCTCCTTTTTAGCTATAGGTAGGAAATGACCCGAACAGGAGATCCTACTTATAGTTTGAAAGTGGACATCTCAAACCCTCAGTATGGATGATCCGGATCAGAGAAAGCTGGACCGATTAGCATCAGAACTATGGGTTTGGAAGATGAAAAGAACGGTAAAATAGCATGATTGGAAAATATATGAAAGAATAGATCTTTATTCTTCGGCACTACCGGCCAAAAAAACAAGAGAAATACAAGGCTCGTGCTACCGGAGGATCCCTGGACGGGGAAGACGCGGGTTGAGAACCACCAGGCTATGCCAAATCCTGAGAAGCTACTTTGTTCCTCTTCTCCAAGACCTGATCATAAGTGTTTCCAAACAAGTCATGAAACCCCAACTCATCAGGGTCGAACGGCTTGGGGAAATGCTCCATGATCAGATCAAGGTTCTTATCAACCAGCAGATCCTGGCTCTTTGTCACCGTCTGCTCGGTTAAAGCATCTAAAAAGGCCTTTCCTTCCGGCGTATCGTCCAAGAGATTGATTCCCGCCGCGATAGGTTCCCTGCTGGCACGAAGGAACTGACCGAGATGTGGCCCCAGAAACTACCGAGCGGTCTCTTCTCGGGCTACACTCAGCCATTTACGTCGTTGATAGTCGATCACCCCGTGTTTGGTGATCTTGGAGACATTGGCAGTATAAGGAACGGGAGGATTGTCTCCATCAGCCTTATCGAACTTCATCCTGGCAGTTTCAGCCACCTTCACTTTGGCCTTAAGATCATTGATTTGCCAATCGCGACAGCGGATCCTCTCCTCCATATCGGCCAGCTCGGCCATCGCCTTCTCACCCTTGCTGGCACGGTCCTGCAGATCCGCAATCAGTTTACGGGCGGCATTGAGGAGAGTCTGACTCTCCTCTCGGTCGCGAGACAAAAGCATCATCTCCCGCTCAGCAACCAGGAAAGCCTGTCAGCTCGGTGGTAATAAACTCCAGCCTGAAAGGTGGCAACCACGGATTAAAGCAAGGTCTAAGGGAATACAAAATTTGCCAAATGGGCCGGAAAGTCGTACCTTAAGGGCCTCAAGATGACCTGCCTCCACCAGGTCGGACCAGTGTGTCAAGTTGGTGAGGCTGGGGGGAGCCTTCAAAGACATGTTGCACCACATGGAACCTGGTATTTGGCCAAACAGATACCTCCCTTTTGCTCGAGGCCCCAGGTTGGAGAACTCCACAAACATCTGATCGTCGATCGGCATGTTGGCAAGAGCTGGATCCCCTAACTTAGCAGGCAGAGGAGTAGACTTTTTGGGCTCAGAATCCAGACCGGTCAAGTCAACTATATGATCAATCGGGACGAGCTCGCTACTGCCATCGGTCTGGCGCCTTTTCTGGGCCTATTTAGTATCACCCCGAGCTTCAACGGTCAGTTTTTCTTTCCCTTTCCCAATGGGGACCATTGAGGTGGAAGGGTGGGACGCTTGGCCTCGGCTGAAGGGATTACACCTACACAAAGTAAAATCAAGGTAAGATACCTGAATTGAGGGGCAGACAAGCCAAATGGTCCAAAAGACACAAAGGCTTACCAATGCCCGCAGCTAGAATCTTGGAAGGGGTGACATAGGCCCCTAGATTTTGCGAACACCCCAAATGAAGCCGATCGTACTGGCAAAGGAGGGCAGCATCCAGAACAGGTGCAGTATATTTGGCCGGGTAAGTATTCCACTGGTCGGGGAACGGAAACGGGTTACCCACATGAACGAAGAAAAATTGTTCTTCCCATTTTTCGGGAGCAGTAGGATTGTCCGTGAATAACTGATGATCAGGGCGAGCAACCAGTGTCACGCCCCGGACCTACCAGACACGTCAACAATCCGCCGTACAGTACGATTTGTCAACCGCAGTTCAACACATTCATACTATACAAGGCGTCTGGAATATCATTCACACGTAGCACATCCATAAACAAACATAATGTGAATTATTCTTTAAAACAGCGGAAACAACATTACAAGTGTTCAAGCCACACTTGGCAAACATGGGTATACAAACCCCCGAAATGTATATTCAGAAAATAATATCCATGAGCATTATTCATATTGTTTTCAAAACAAGAACGGAAGAAGCACGAACCAAGTCTTCTTCTCAGAAACTTCCCGAAACAGCGGCTGGTAGTAGCAACCTTCAAGTTCTACCTGAAACTGTGAGGTGGCCTCCCCCGTGAAGGGGAGGTCAGTACTTGGAAGCATTTGACAAGTACAATGACAACTATACTACGTATAATCGAAGTTTAAATCTCTGAGGCCCTCAATCTAGAGCATTATTACATTATAGTTAATCCGTTCATTTAGTATCAATTCATCATTATTTACTACGGTCTAGAGCCCAGCTCATAATCACCGTTATCTACTACGGTCTAGAGCCCCGCTCATAATCACCGTCATCTACCACGGTCTAGAGCCCAGCTCATAATCACCGTCATCTACTACGGTCTAGAGCCCAGCCCATAATCACCGTTATCTACATCGGTCTCGAGCCCAGCTCATAATCACCGATTCTTTATAATTCAAATTCTTAGGATCTAATTCATCCATTTCTCAACTAACATTTCCAACTAATATTTCAATGCTAGTTATTTATTTATTTCAATATAATTCTTCCTTCATGCATGATTGGCCTTAATACCAAATATCACTTTTATACTTTCATGGCTTCTCCTCATGGTATCAAAGTATACTATCTCAAATTAAATTCATGGTTGATACAACCATCATACACTCGTATTCATAACATCTAAACATACACAATTTATTCATAAATTTGTATATCATGCATACTATACTTATAATCAATAGTAGTTTTATTTAGGCATCATTAACCATTAACAACCCATGCACATCACATTTGTATTCACTTAAGATATCCCATGAGATTAACCCAAAGATTATAAGCAACATAGTCGGTAATCCTCACCTTAATTAAGCTTAAGCGCGTTCTACGCTTCTCGATTGAACTTTGACTAATTTCGGCGAACTTTGACCAACTCCGGCGAACTTTGACCAACTCCGGAGAACTTTGACCAACTCCGACGAAACTCCGGCGAAGCTCAAAAATACTTTAAATCAAGTTCCTAACAAGGTTTTATCATCACAAAACCCATATCAACACAAATAACCTATAAAAGGTTATTTTCCGGCAAACCGGTCGATTTGGCTTCTAAGTCCGTTCTTGGACATAGAACCACTTTCCAACCCATAAACCCATACTTAGAACATGGAGAACCATCCCAAGGGTTCTTCATATAATAAATATTCCTCATGGTAGAAGAAGAATAAAGGGAAAGCTATGGCAAGGTGATTACCTCAATTTCCACACTTTCCTACACCTTTTTCCTTCTCCAAACACTCCTCTTTGGATCCTCTATCTTGAGCTCGAATTTGGGTGTGAAAATGATGAATTTCAGAGCTCCTCCTTGCTATCCTTGGGTGTTGCTACGAGTGGGTGGAGGTGGTGAGGTGAGAGGGGTGGTTTTTGTCTCATTTAGACAAATGAGTGAAGGGATGGGGTCTACTAAATGTCAAAGGGTGTCTCCCCCATCCTATCAATTGTTATTCAGCCAACTTAGCACTCATCCAGCCCCCAAGGGTTGACAAATTCGTGGGGTGGCCCCCACCCATGTGGGAGGTCATCCTAATTTGTCCCAAAGTGTACAATTTGCCCCGAAAGTTGTATTTTCCGGACTGTTTTAGATATATTTTATTTTATTGGGTTAAATAAATATATTACGTGTTCTTAATCATTTAACATCTAGAATGAATATATATTCCCCAACTTTAATTTATAAGTCTCCAAAATCCACTTTCGGGCTTTTATCTGATAAATTTATCGATACCGGTATTTGGGCCTCTATTGACCAATCGGTCAACTCTGGGCCTTTCCATGGCCCAAATGAAGTATCCACCATCTATAAATATTTTCTAGACCCAAATGAATATAATGTGTGGTCCCGATAATATCGGGCGGTCCCCACTCCCGATGTGGGCCCCACGTGCATTTTACTATTCACGCGAAAAAATTAATACAAATTCACAACCTCGTAAATTCACTAAAAATTTCATAGGGTTCAATAAATTATTCGCTTAAAGATAAATACATTTGGGGACGGTGTTACAAGTTCACCCCCCCTTATTTGGGATTTCGTCCCCGAAATCCGCGTGTCTAATCGAAGAGGAAAGGGTACTGCTCCCTCATTGAGACCTCAGTCTCCCAGGTTTCTTCTTCGACTCGATCACTCCTCCAAAGGACCTTTACCATAGGAATCTCCTTGTTCCTCAGTTTCTTTACCTGTTGACCCACAATCTTCACCGGTTCCACCGCATATTGTAGGTCTTCACGTATCTCTACCGGTGATTTCTCAAGGATATGAGACAGATCTCGCACGTATTTCTTGAGCATCGATACATGGAACACGTCGTGTATCTTCTCAAGTTCTGGCGTCAATTTGATAAGGTAAGCCACGGCCCCTATCCTTTCAAGGATTTCAAATGGGCCAATGTATCGGGGGTTAAGCTTTCCCCTCGATATAAATCTGATGATACCTTTCCAAGGAGAAATCCTTAGAAAGACCTTATCACCGACCTCAAACTCCAATGGCATGCATCGTTTGTCAGCATAACTCTTTTGCCGATCTTGGGCAGCCTTGAGTCTATCCTGAATGACTTTCACCTTAGCCTTGGTGATTTCGACAAGTTCAATCCCCTCGAGCTTGGCTTCGCCAACCTCGTCCCAACACAACGGTGTTCTACATTTCCTCCCATACAATGCCTCGTATGGAGGCATGCCAATACTCGCCTGATAACTGTTGTTATAGGCGAACTCGACCAGAGCCAAATGCTTGTCCCAACTCCCTTGGAACTCCAGAGCACATGCCCTAAGCATATCTTCCAGAATCTGTATCACCCTCTCGGATTACCCATCCGTCTGTGGGTGAAAGGTTGTGCTAAACTTTAGCTTCGTACCCAAAGATGCTTGAAATTTTGGCCAAAATCGGGATGTGAAACGTGGGTCCCTATCCGAGACAATGGATATCGGAACTCCATGCAGTCTCACAATCTCCTCCGTGTATAGCTTTGCCAATCTTTCAAGAGGATAGTAATGTTGATAGGCAAAAAGTGTGCACTCTTGGTGAGCCTATCAACCACTACCCATACTGCATCATAGTTGTTCACTGTTCGTGGTAGCCCCACCACGAAGTCCATGGTCACGTGCTCCCACTTCCATTCTGGAATGGTAAGTGGTTGCAAAAGTCCCGCCGGGTGCTGATGTTCCGCCTTGACTTGTTGGCAAGTAAGGCACCGACTCACGTACTCTGCGATGTCCCTCTTCATACCCGACCACCAGTAACTTTCCTTCAAGTCTCGGTACATTTTAGTACCTCCTGGATGCATGGCATACGCCGAAGAATGAGCCTCCTCCAGTATAGACTTTTGGAGCTCCTCATTCCTTGGTATGCATACACGGCCTTTAAACAATAAAAGACCGTCATCACGTACCCGAAAGTTCTCAAAAGGTCCCTCAAGGATCCGTTCACGGATCTTCTGACATTCTTCATCAGTGGCCTGACATCTACTGATCTCACTCAGCAATGTAGGCCTAACCTCGAATCTAGCAATGAGGACCCCACTCGTGGACACCTCCACTTGTGCCCTTAATGAGCGTAGACACGCGAGTAACGTCCCCGATGTACTCTTCCTGCTCAGTGCATCGGCTACTACATTGGCCTTCCCGGGATGATAGTCGATGATCAAGTCATAGTCCTTGATCAACTCCATCCATCTCCTTTGTCTCATATTCAACTCTTTTTGAGTGAATACATACTTCAAGCTTTTATGATCGGTGAAAATGTGACACGTCTCCCCATAGAGATAATGCCGCCAAATCTTCAGCGCAAACACTACCGCTCCCAACTCTAGATCGTGGGTAGGGTAGTTTGCCTCGTGTTTCTTCAATTGCCTTAAAGCATAGGCAATCACCCGACCGTTTTGTATTAGAACACATCCAAGCCCTTGGATGCTAGCGTCACTGTATATGTCGTACCCTATCCCTTGTGTGGGTAGAGCGAGGACTTGTGCTTCTGTAAGCCGTTTCTTTAGTTCGAGAAACCCTTTCTCACAATTGTCATCCCATATGAACTTGGCCCCTTTCTTTGTGAGCTTTGTCAATGGAGACGCCAATACAGAAAATTTTTCAACAAACTTACGATAATATCCTGCTAAGCCGAGGAAACTACGTATTTCTTTCACGTTTTTGGGTCTCTCCCAATTCATAATGGCTTCTATCTTGGCTTTATCCACCGCAATGCCCGAACCTGACAT